GGAGGCGGTTGGGCTGGGGCGCCGGTCGGACGGGCGGGGAGCCGCCGCTTCACCCCGAAGTGGGCCCGGCCGCGCTGGCTGGAGAAGGGCTCCTGAGCCTCCGCGCAACAAAAACCGTGTCTGGGGAATTGGGCGAACCCCCAGCACCCACCGCGATGCGCTGTAGCTCAGCGGCAAGCTCGCGGCTACTTCGGGTGACTTGGGGGCTTTCTGGCGGTTGTGCTTAGGGAACCTTCTCTGGGGCCATTTTATGTGTTAAAAAAAAAAGGACGAAGGTTGAGAAGCACTTATCTCGGTTCCTTCCGAATCGGTAAAATGGCGAAGGGGAAGCAAAACTCCCATCGTATCTTCGACTAGCAAAAGCACCAGAACAAACCCCCCCAGGCCTCCCGTGGTCTGAGTGCCCCCGCTTTCGTCTTTGAAATTTGCCTACTTTCCAGTTGCCCCTTTTTGGTCACTTGCGATCACGTAGGTTTGCAAAAAGCAGTCACATAAATAACCTTTTCAGTCACCACCGCAGTGTGCTCACGAGTCCACCCCACTCTTATTTTTATTGTGACAATAAAACACGTTTTCGCCCGGTCCCAAATGCCGCAGACCAGCCCGCGGCCGCCCGACTCCGTACCGTTGGTGACTCGGGTCGATCCATCATGGCTGCGGCCGCTTAGCCTGCTTTTCAGTCCCTGAGCCTTGTGGTCCTCCTCCCTTTGGCTGCCCTGTTTATATAGAGCCATTGCCGCTCTCTAATATAGACTCTGCCAGGATGGGAAGGTGCTTTTCAGGCCTACGTCACCGCCTCTCCATTTAAACACCAGATCCGGCTTTAAATAGTGAGAGCTGCTGAGCGGGCTGGGAGGTGCGTGCTCCCGAGGCGAGCGGCGGGCGCGTGCTGAGCTCAATTTATGTTTAGGTCCTTTTCTTACACTTATTTTCGCACCCAAAAGGGGCTGCTTCAGAGTCCCAAGTTTTTGTTTAAGGCGGCAGCTGGGATTTGCCATCTTTTTTCGGGGAAAACAATTGCTGTCCCTTTGTGTTTTTAAAGGGAAATTGAGAGATTTTGTCCATCCTTTTTACACTAGAAGGTGCTTATTGTCGGGGATTTAAACATTGCTTTCTTTATTGTTAGCTGCAGATGACTTGACTTCGATAGTATTTTGTTCATTAAGTATTCGGGGAATATGTTAGAAATACAGCTTCCCTGGTATTTCTTTTGTGTTTGTTTTTTTTCTAACAGATAGTAGGAATGATGAAGCTTTTCAAAGAGATAAGTGCTAAAAAGCTTTTACATAGGACCATATGCCTATAGTGATGTATAAGGAAAAGTGTGAGTAATGAGAGCCAGGCGGCCTAGTGCTAACTGGATTAAGAAAAAAATTAAAATTCTAAGCCGGTGTTTTTATTGAATTTCATGTTAATTTGATACCCAGTGTAGAAATCAGTCAAGCGGTTTTTCAGTGTTACATCAGGGACTGTGAAAGGAACCTACCATCATTTGATAATGCTAGTAATGGCCCTCTAATTTTATAATACCACTTTTTGAGTCTGAAGTGTTTGCTTTTTGAGAACCAGGACAAACTTAAATTATTTTGTATCTACTTTGATTCAAGTAAAGGTCGGCATTTTAAACAATTTGGAAATTGTGGGTATGTCATAGAGTGTCCATGTACCCACATTTTTTAAAAACTTTTGAGAACTTTTTTAAAAACAGTTCTGCTGTATTTGTTTATTTCATAAGGAATAAATTTCTTGGAATATACTACTTGTGAATCCATTAAATGGTTAATTAACACAAAAGAAAAACTCTTTAAAATTTTAACCATGGATGGAGTCATTTAATGTGGAATGCCAGAAGAACACATACTTGTTCTATAGTTGTTTGGATCGCCAGGATAGCTTTTAGGGATGACTGACTTAAGCACCAAAACAACAGCTAGTTGCTATACAAATAATTTATAGCTTTAATACACTAACAGTTTAATATTAGGCTGCCTTTTTGCAGTGTGGTAAGGAGTCATTATTGGCTAAAATTTTTTTTTAATGAATTATGCTATTCAGCAGTTAAATAACTTTTACTAAGATGTTACCTAGTCAGAATAAGGAAGTTAATATAAGGAGACAAGGTGAAGATGTATATTTTTACATATGAGTAATATTTAGAAAGGCAGTTTGACAAAAGTAAGTTAGCAGAACACACATGTGAATTGTTTTTCTGGCAGTAATGAAAAGGAACACATAATGTTGAATAATAGAGTTAGTGTACAGGGGAACTCATTTCTGATTTGACCACACAAGAACACATGTTCTTAAAGAGTATTCCCCTGTGATAACAGTATTGCTGCTGGGAGAGAGTCTAGTGAGACTTTTTTGTTTGAGGTTTGCTAATGAAAAGTAAGCACATGTTTTTATTGGATAACCAGTAACTTACCTTAAGCAAGATATAAAACACAAATAATGACAAAGCGTTAAAAGGAAAAAGCTGTCAACTTTAACACTGATAAAGGCTAGGATTTATAACCCATGCAATTCTAATTTTATCACCCTGACATCTTTTCTTTGACATGTTAAAAATAGGCTATGGGCTGAGCAAATCGTTCTGTGTTCTGCCTTTGGTTTTAAAAAGTATTTTCTTTCAAAGTGTTTTCACATTTTTTTTCTTACATTATCTTTATGGAAGTCATCCCACTCCCCACCCCCAGGCCAACAATAATAGTACTCTAAAAAATACTCTTCAAAAAATTTTTGGCTGTTCATGATTATTTTCTATAGCATCATCAAGTTGCAGTTTACTACCAAGCAAATGAGTGCCAGATACAAGATTCTCTAAAGTCTTAAGACATTCAAACCAGGCAAGGAATAATAGGAACCAGACATCACAATCCATATAGCTACCATTGGATCATAGGTGCTTAGGTGTTTTACTAAAGTAACATGGGAAATCATAACTGGAAATTGTATGTGCCTTCTATGCAAAAGGACCTTCCTATATGAATTGCATTAGATAGTCTTAAAACTTAATGAAAACAGGCAGTCATTAAAAAATCTAGTTTAGGGCAAATAATGTTTATTACTAGGATGTTCATATCTTTAAAAAATTATCTTAAGTTTTAGATGGTTGGAAAATGATTGTTGTATTTTGTGTTTGAGTAAATATGTTATACTTTTAATATGTGGAAAGCAGTTTTTCTCAACAATTTTTCCTTTTTCCTTTAAAGCCAAAATTATATAGATCTGTGATCGAAGATGTTATTAATGATGTGAGAGATATTTTTCTGGATGATGGAGTCGATGAACAAGTTCTGATGGAACTGAAAACTGTGAGTTTTCCTTTTTAAAGTTTTGTTTTTTTTTTAAATATTTGTGCATACAGCACTGGGGTATAGGTCAGAGACTCAGGGGTGGCGAAAGACTTCACCAGAGACAGAGTCAGGAGCAGAACAGGCAGATCGACGAAGTACACTGCTGAGGGGAGCAGCAGGCGGGTCAGGAGAGGTCTGCCACACCATGTGGTCACCTCCAGGGCAGGCGGGAATCGAACTCAATGCGGAAGTGGTTTCAGCTTCTTTAGTGCAGTGCTTTAACCCGCTGCGCCACCACGGAGGGCCCCTTTTTAAAGTTTTAACATTCATATCTTACTTAAAAATACTCCAGCCAGAGACTGATCTTTCATTTTTTTCCATAGAATGAATGTTTGAATTTGTTGGAGGAGGCAGTATAATAAATGAAAGTTGCTGGGTTTAAATTTCTACTCTACCACATATTGTTCCTCTGACCTTAGGCAAACTATATTTTTGTTTCTTTCTATGTGGGATGAAAATTAATTGTACTTACCTTATAGAGTTGTTTTGAGGATTAAATGTAATAACCATGCAAAGATTTTAGCATAAGCATAATACTTGGCAGTGACATTAGCTATTATTAATGGACAGTAAAGTGTACATTTTATAGTTTAATTACTTGACATACCTGAAAGGTTTTTCCTTTTTCTATGGTCTTAATGTATATATCCTCTGAGGGTGTTGTGGAGATTAAGTTATCAATAAAAGAAGTTTAAGTTCTTGAATATGATCCTTTTTGTGGGCCAGATGTCACGTTTATAATATATTTGGGAAATTTGATGGTATGTCTATGGTATGTCCTTGAATTTAAATAGAAATGTTTATGTATTTAACATTTGTATTTTCCTAGTGTTGTAATGACTCATAAAATGGTTCTTGGTGTATGGTACCTGCACTTCTGGGGTTTCCTGAAATTCCTTCAGAGGATCAATGAAAAAAGTCACCAACTTATTCAGTTCATAACTCAAGTATACAAGTTATTTTCCTTGAATTAATTGTTCCACATGTATAAGAAATGTTTTATATGTGCCTATTTGATGCAATCTTTTATTAATAAGATTTACTTAGGGTCAATACTAAGTATTGATACTAAGAAATGCAGTCATTTGATATTCTGTAATGAAATATGTTAGTGCTTAAATCACTGAACTTGTTTTTTCTCAAATGGATGCATATTGTTCCAGAATTTCTTCAAAATAAAAGATAAATAAGATTTAAATCTAAGTATAAAAAGTTGATTAGTATATTTCATACTTAGCATTGCAGCTTTTAAGAAACCTTCACTTAAAATAGTTTTTCCTTTCTCAGCTATTTAGCTATGGGAAGGCACATTTTCTTCATATACTTCAACCAAAACAACACTGAATTCAGATGCAGATACAGAAACCCAGCTCTTTTAAGCCACTTCTCAACTGAACTTTATTTGAAAAATAGGTTATTTTTATTAATAATATTGTTTACGTTAATGTAAAAGATACATTGTTATTTTTAAATGATTTGGTAAACATTTTTAAAATCTTAGTTATAATTTCATAAAACTCTAAGGTCTTTGATAATTTCTGATAGTGATAAAAGGATCTTGAGGTAAAAAAAGATGTTGTAATACTGGCTTAGCATTTTGGTATTGAGTGGCACAGGAGTGAAACCATCTATTTTTCCATCTAATTTCACGAAGCATAGTACCGTCTAGCCCCATACATGTTAAAAAAGACAGGATTTTGTCTTTTTTATAGCTGCATTGTATTCCATCGTGTGTGTGTGTGTGTGTGTGTGTGTGTGTGTGTGTGTGTGTGTGTATCCACCGCTTGTTTATGTAGTAATTCTTTGATGGGCACACTTACATTGTTACATGCTCTTGGCTATTGTAAATAATGCTGCTGTAGACCCACATGTATTAGTGTCTTTGTATTTTTTGTGTAAATAATTCAGAAGTGGCTAGTTGGATGGTAAGGAAGTTTCAGTTTTTGGCATCTCATTTTCTTTTATTCTCTTCTAAAGATTGATTTATTTATGAATACAAAACTGGGGTACAGGCCAGAGGTGCAGGGGGGTGAGACAGATGGGGAACAGAATGAGTAGATTGACTAAAATACACTGCTGAAGGGGAGCAGTAGGGAGACAGGAGAGGTCTGCTGAGCCATGTGGATCATCTTACTGGTCGGAGATTGAACTCATTCTGCAGTGGCTGCAGATGGCTTCATAGTGCTTGTGTCACCAGGGAGGGCACCCATCTCATTATTTTCACTAAAGCAAATCTTATCTGTATTCTGGTGATAAACCATCTTAGAACATACAGGCATCTGTAGGCCACTTCTGTAGTTTTCAGAAATAATTTGCCTATGTGAGGGAGGAAAGAGTGTGTGTCTAAGATTGTGTGTGTGTTAAGAGATGAGGAAATATATTTACCTTTACAGAAATGTGATAGTGAAGAGTGGGAATCTAAAAATACAAGGCAAAGAATCCCAACTCTGTGATGAGTTGGAAGAATGGCAATGTAAACTGCTCAAGCAGCATAAACAATCTAAGGGCCATGAATAAAAAGAAAATACACTTATTTTGATTCCTTGGAGGTAATATTTTATAATTTTCATAGTTTTCTTATTATGGTTGTCCTTATTATTCTGTGACCTTATTTAGAAGGCACATTTTTTTAGGTATAGAAAATTGGTTCCCAAAGACTTACAAATATAGTAGGTCAGCTTTATCATAGGGCTGTTTACTCTGGCTTTTCACTAAGCTGGGGAAATGATTTTTCCAATTGTATTCAATGGAATAAAAGTGTCTTGCCAAAGATAATGAGCTGTCTTTGAGATCAAATAGCTCTACCTGTAGGAGTGTGAAAGTGAAAAAGAGACTGTGTATATGTACATACATCCACATACATGTTTTATAGGTTATGATTAGTTTTTAATGACAAAAATTGTAACTTACCAGCTTTGAATCTGCAGTTTTGACCATATTCCCTGGCACATGTTGTTTAATTCAATTGGTTAATAACAAATGTGGCACCAGAATCTTACTCACCAAAAGTTTAATGTGTTTTGGTGTATGTATAGGCACACACACAATTTTCTTTTTAAATGAGGCATGCTCTTCTTACTGGGGTTGTTAACTAGATTTAAAAATAAAATTGTTCCCTTTTCTGCCTGCGATGTCTCAGATATGTTTCCTAAGGAACTAAGAACTTTAAATCTTCCAAAATACAAAAAGCATCTTATTTCCCATCTCTCATCCCAGCTCCTGCAACACAAATGTCCAGTGCCCTACAGTTTGTGGGCTATAGTCCATATAGTCATCTCAACTACAACTGCAGACTGGTAGGGCACCTGGACACCAACAGTCAGGACATGGTATTTGCTGGTATTACAATTCCAAAACACCCAAAGCCAACGGATAAGTTGTTAATGCCCTATGTAAGGTACAGTAGAAAGGTCTGGACAAAGTAAAGATTTTTAACCCTAACCTACAGTTGTGGGAGATGGACAAGATTATTGGTGGTAGATGGCAAGATCTCAAGATGAAGGAAAGCGACAATATTTTAACAAATAAGGAGCAGAAGGAATAAAGTACATGTTTCCCCCACATACCTTACATACATAAATGCAAAAAGTCATGCAGAAACTATTTTAGCGGAAGAATCAACAGAGATAGTCTCATATGCAGAAAGACAATCCTTATATGAGCATTCAGCCTGTTGGCAATCAGATGATGATGATGACTTTTCAGTGAAGCATACTGGCACTGCCCGTTCCTATCACCTCAGATGTTGTGCCAGATGTCCTGGTCAGTTGTCACAGATGTGCAGATCTACAAATGAAAGGTGCAGTTCTTAATGGCTCATTAGCAAAAACTGGAAGCTGAACCTCTTAAAATAGAAGACCAAGACAAGGACAAGAAGGAAATTCCTAGAAAGCACAAGTTTATTTAACAATGCACTGAAAAGGTGTGATTTGAAATTATAAGTGCATATGAAGAAAATTGCAGCTGAAATTGACAGGCAGAATAGCAGGCTTGCAAAAGGCAGGAGGAAAGGGAGAGATGGGCAGACTTAGTACAGTCAGAGCAACATGGATCCTGATGAAGAGTGTGGAGCTAGTAAAAGTGAAGAAAAGAAAGAAGATGAGAGCTTTCCGTTGGGGAGTAAGGAAGACAAAGCTTAAGGAAATTATAGAATGGTGAAGAAGGCACCTCTTTCTAGGACTAGGAGAACATGCAGGAAGAGTGGACAGTATGGCAGTGGGAGTGGTCAGTGATAGTAATGCAGGCTCAGAGAGCAATAGAGCAACTGATGGGGAGCCAGGAGATGGAGGTGGAGGGATACATAACTGTTACCTTGTTTTATGTGTTCTAGCAATAGATAACTTTTTTTTTAATAAGTGAAACAATGTTTTTTTGAATTTAAAAAAATTGTTGAACTAATATGAATTTATTTTAATTCTTGGCTCTGAATTTCTCAGGATGCCAGAATTTCCAGAATGTGCCCGAGTTTTAACAGTTTGATAGCCAGCACTATCCAATAGAACATTCTATAGTGATGAAGTATGCTATATTTGTGCTCTCCAGTGTGGGAGCCACTTGCCAGATATGGCTGTTATGCACTTAGAATATGGTTAGTGGAGTTGAAGATTTGTGTTTTAATAATTTAATTATGGTTAATTTCAGTATAGATCATGTGACTAGTGGCTACCATATCAGACACCACAGACGTAGATATTATTAATAAAAATTGTTCTTTATGAACTAAAAATTATACAGCTCTAGCCTTTTCCTCCCCCTTTCTTGGCCATTTCAAACTTTTCTCAAAATCTTTCCATATGACTTGGATGCATTGAAGGGTGCATTCATGAATTAGATTATGAATTAAGATGAGTAATGTAAGTACCGTGAAAGTAGAAACTTTAAGTTAAAAAAGTAATAAAAGTGGCCCTCCCTGGTGGCGCAGCGGGTAAAGCACTGCACTAAGAAGCTTAAGCCACTTACGCATGAGTTCGATTCCTGCCTGTCCCGTAGGAGACCCACATGGCGCGGCAGACCTCTCCTGACCCACCCACTGCTCCCCTCAGCAGTGTACTTTGTTAATCTGTCTGTTCTGCTCCCCTCTCTGTCTCTGGTTAATCCTCTCACCCTCCACATCTCTGGCCTATACCCCAGTTCTGTGTGAATAAATAAATAAATCTTTAAAAAAAAGTAATAAAAGTTAAGTTTTTTAAGTTAAAAACTGATAAAAGATTTCATCTTAGTTCTTGACATTCTCTCTTGAAATACTAGGAACCTACTTTAAAATATGAGCTATGAGAGATAGAGAAGATAATATAAAATACAATCTTGATTTTTCTATAAGTATATTTGAATATAGTTTGTGTTTGGGGTTGGTGGGTGACTCTAGATTGGATAGTGTAGAAATCCTTTTTAAAGTGAGTAATAAACTTACTATGAATCCAAATAGCAAGTACAGAGGAACATGTGAAACATGATCTCTATGTTAAAGGAAACAAAGAATTCCCTCAGTTGGAGAGAATCTGCAGTTCATTTGCCTGCCTCTTGATTGGACTTCCCAGCTTTGGCACTAGTCACATTTTGGACATGTTTATTCTTTAGAGGGGGCTGTTCTGATCACAGTAGGATGTTAGTAGTTTAACAGGCAGGGGCCAGTTATAACAATTATAACTGGCAAAAGCCAGTTATGCCAGTGACATCCCTTTGTTTTTATAACCAAAATGTCTCCAAACATTGCCAAATAGCCTTGCTAGAGGGAAACTTATCCCCAGTTGAGAACTACTTTTCTAACTATACTCTAGCTCTAAAGATATTTGAGTTACGTAGAAACACGGGCCATAATTTAAACATTAACCTATTTTCTACCTTTCATTTTTTGGCCATTAAAGACAGCTATTTCCCCAAAGGTTGTTTCCTCTGAGTCAGTTTTTTGATCCATAAAATGTGACTAGATCTATTGCATCCTGGCAGTGTAGTGGGCAAAATACTCCGTAGGAGTCTTCTACCTGCACCAAACATCCAGTTCTTGGATAAAACACACATCTAGGTTACTATGTTGGGGAACAGATCTTTTTGTAGGGGAAGTACCTGTTTTGGAGAAAAGAGAGTACTATAAACATGAAGAAAAAGTTCTGTTTTTAAGCAAAATGATATACAGTATTTCAATATTCTTGATTGTCTTAAGTAGTATTGATATGCACAACAGTATTTAAACAGTTACTATTTAAATAATAGAATATTTTAACAATTAGAAAGTGGTAACAAAACATACAACCAATTTGAACTTCAGTTATCAGAGGAGAAAAAGTTTATGTAGATACTTATTTTCAAAATGACAAAATTAAATTTTACTTCTATATGTATGTAACTGTTTTCTTTTCCTTCCCTCCTTTTGCCCACAAGTGATCCCCTCACCACCTAACTCCCCCAACCACCACCACTGAAGAAATCATTAGAGGGAGATGACTAACAGAAATGGCTAAACAGAAAAGGATTGTTAATCTTTGAGGGAGGGGAATTTTGAGAAGTGTGAAAGGTTGAGAATACCTCTGGAAGCATTAGGCATTGCTGTTTCGTTTTCCTCATGTAGAACATATGGAAAGTTGGACTTCTAATTAAAGAAGTGCCTGTTATGTTTCTTACTGCTCTAATCACAAAAAGATGGATTTGTGTTGTGTTGTTGTATATGTTACTTAATTTTTTTTTTTAAATGTAGGGTAACGGGACATTTTTTTTTAGGGTTTGTGTGTGTGTGTGTGTGTGTGTGTAGGACTGTGGTGTAGAGCAGACAATCGGGGTGAGAGGATTCACCAGAGACAAAGTGAAGAGCAGAACAGGTAGATTTACTAAAATACACCGCTAAGGGGAGCAATGGGCAAGACAGGAGAGGTCTGCTGTGTTACATGTGGGTTAGTTAGCTCCCTAGCAGGATCGAACTCAGGCTGTAGAGCTGATTGATAGCACTGAGACATAATCCTTAGACCTCCAGGAAGGCCCTGTATATGTTATTATTGAAAAGTTAGAAAAAACTGTGTTAAAGAGTTCCATAATAGTTAACTGGGTTTGTTATTTAAAGAGATAATCTTTGATTACTAAAAAATTGATTACTAAAAATTGTGAAACTACTTGGATAACTATAAAGAAGTACTATAGAAGTTTGTTGAAGATGTTGAAAAAAACAACATTCTTAAATACATTAAGGTAGCAAAAGTGAGGTGTGACTCTTGAAAAATCGGTATCTTCATTGTTATATACATTTAGGTAAGTATTAGAGATTGCTTGATGTGTTTGTATCAATTTTGAAAATATAAAAATCTTAGACTAGTGAACAGAATGTTTTGTTCGTTATTTGGAGTATCATCCTCTGACTTAGAAACCTTTAATGTTCTTTGCCTTAGTTATGGGAGAATAAGCTAATGCAGTCGAGGGCCGTAGATGGATTTCATTCAGAAGAGCAGCAGCTTTTATTGCAAGTTCAACAACAGCACCAACCCCAGCAACAACAGCATCACCACCACCACCACCATCAGCAAGCTCAGCCCCAGCAGACAGTACCTCAGCAAGCACAGACCCAGCAAGTCCTTATTCCTGCATCACAGCAGGGTGAGCTGAATTTGTTTTCTTCATTTAACTTCAAAATAAAAATTCTCATTTTGAAAAGAAAAACACACTGTAGGTTTTTCTTTTCTATTGACTAAGTGTGGATATATGTATGTGCATGTAAATTTGTATAAATATGGATCCTATTTGATGTATTATGATAGATGAGTAATTTACTAATTGAAAGCTTACGATGTATTTAGTTAAATGTATTAATATTTTATTTTGAACAGCTACATAGTAGTGAATTTCCTAAAATCAGATTGATAAAGATTTATTTACTAAAGATTTTCTTTATGTAGTCAAATTGTTGTCTGCTCGAGGAAGAAGACATAAAACTGTTCCTTCAATGACATTTGAGTTTAGGTTTTATAAATCTATCAGATCTCAAGTATTTTGAATTAATCTTTGGTAATCTGAAATTTCAAATCCATAGTAATTTTTAGTATGTCTGAATTTGATTTCTTTTGAGTCAAGTATATAATATATCTTACTTTTGTTCAGTTTAGAGGCAAGGAAAAGAGTACTTGGGACTTTCTGTATAGTGCTTTGTTTGGTGCAAGTCATTTTACAGAAGTTACGTTATAGTCTTACAAAGGCTTTTTTCGTAAGGTAGCTTGTTAGTATTTTGTTGTTGAAGTAAGTCTGGGTCTTGAAAACTAAGAACCTTGCTCTGTTACATGTAAGTATTTTGTCATAAACATCCTGGATGTTTTGAGTTTTTTAGCTCTTTATTATTGGAGAGTACAGCAAAGGTAAATGAAAAGTTTACTTTAGGATAACTTTGTTTGTTTCATTTGCTTGAAGGTATATTTAAAATTTACAATTGATAGTGATACACAGTAGAAAAAGCCCTTTGAGTGATACTCTGTTTCTGTCAAATAAGATCTTATTTGATTTTTGGTCTGTATCTTGCATCATATTATAATTTTATTCTTTTAATGTGTTTTGATGACCGTTCCTCCTACTGCCTTCAGATATGGCACTAGGATTTTAGGTCATCATAAATTAACATTTGATTTTTTTCACTCAGAGAATATTAGGATAATGGGATTATCTGTTTATTCTCTGAAATTTGCGGAATCAAACACCTGTTTTACACTTAAATAACTGCCATTATTTCTGATGTGTGTTTTTTTAAAAGATGATGAAAGTAACTTATTCTGGCTACTGTCAAATTGGGAAAAAGGACTTTTCAAGATTTGAAGTTTTGAATTATATTAATGATATAGTTAGTGCTTAGTTAGCAGGACAAGACGGGTTTGAGACTTTAAATTTCAGAGTACATAGAAAATGTGTTTGTTTAGGTGTTTGGTATTTAACTACTTTCCACAGTTTGTTTTTTCCCTTAGGTATTGTTAATTAAATCCTTTTTTTACTGACATTCTCCAGTATAAAGAATATAGGCCACAGCTGTTATTATTTACTATAGAAATTGAAAATACTGAGATACCAAATGGTTGAGTGTGTTCAAATACAAAAAATGTGGAATGCAAACTAATAAAAGTTTTTAGCGTTGTATATAGCATTCTTACAATTATGAAAGTCTTATAGTTCCTTGGTTCCTTATTTGCATGTGTGCTTGTGTTTATGTTATAGCTGCAGCACCACAAGTTATTGTTCCTGATTCTAAGCTGATACAACATATGAATGCATCAAACATGGTATGACTCAGAGCATAGCACCCAGTATGAGTATTCATGGGAATGTTGTATATTTACAACTTGAAGTTTATTCAGGACTTGAGTAAAATGGTTAATTTATTTAGTTTTTTTATATCAATACTGAATTTAGTAGCAATCCTACAGATTAACTTGATACACAGTGAATTAGACGAATTTATTTTAAAACATAATGCTTTGTGAGAACTAATTCATCCACTGCTATTTTTGGAAATTAGGTTTCGGGGCCCTACCAAGAGATTCTCTAAAGTGCTCAGGAGTGCTAAGATTTAAAGCTTTTAAAAATGAAACTGTTTAGATAGTTTGAATTAGCTATTTTTAAGATCAAACATTAAAATATTTTGGTCTGATATAACCATAGCATTGCCTAATACATCTTATTAAAACATGTTAACTTCTACTTTGATACATTTTTATTTACTTTGAGTTTATTATACACTAAACTTTATATATATTGCGATCTACTGAACTTGAAATGTGTTCAGATTTTCAAATTTCAGTTAGGACATGTAGTATTTGCAATCAAATGTCAGGACAGAATGGCTTTTAGATCCTTAGAGAATCTTTACCTGTATTTCAAAATTGTTTTTTACTAGAACATTAAAACAGTGATTTGCATAGGTGCTCTGTCAGTTTCTCATAAATGGCCTTTCTTTGCTGTGTTTAAAATATATAGACTGCTAGTGGAGTCTCAGCTCTGATATTTCATTCTCAAATTCAGCTTTTAGCCTAGTGTTAGCTCTGATATTTCATTCTCAAATTCAGCTTTTAGCCTAGTGTTAGCCATGAGATTTTCTAACTTTTTTTTTTGGGCGGGGTGGGGGTCAGTGTTATATAATAAAAGAACATGGTATAGGTGGTCATAATAGTAGGATGCTAGAGCCAGCTTGGTGAAATCGGTGTTAGTAATCTTTGTGAGTCATTTGCCAAATTGATTTGTGAATAAATATTGAGATTTACATACTGTATATAATGCAGAGATATAGTAAGACCATATTTTCTTAGACATTAATTGACATCATAGCTACCCTTAGTCAGAATCAGCTTATTTTTTTAACCAAAAATTACTGTTAAAAAATTCATTTATATTTTGATGAGTGATGAATAGTGAAGCCCAAAGCTCATTTGTCATTTATAAACCAGATGGGAAATAGTACTCACCTGCTAGACCAGATGACTTCCTTTTTATATACCAACTTTACAGTTTATAATTTGACAGAATTACAAATTTCTGTATGGTAGGAGAAATTGCAATTTTTAATTTCATTTATATCAAGAATTTATTTGTATTGCAGTTAAGTTACTAGAATTGGTTCTTCTACACAAATGTCACAAAATTCCATGCTGTAATTTCTCAAGAATAGTATAACTATAACAGAGTTCCTTTCAAGTGTATTCCAAAATTTTTTTATTTTCATCATTAAAAATATAAGTTTCATGGTAGAATCTATATTGCAGTGGTGCTATTGAGACTATTTCCTAGGGAATATAACTCATTTTATCTTACTTATTTATAAATATTATTTCTCCAGGTTTATTCAAATAGTGGTGTTGTAAAGAATGTTTAGTTAGAGTTGAGTATATGAAAAAAATTGAAGGCAGAGGAGGAAAACATACTTGAACATAGCTATGGTGAAAGACATGGATGCATTATAAGCACAGGATAAAAATACGTGTGATGTAATTCTTTTAAAAGAAAGGGGAGAAGAAAAGTCTGAAAGCAGTAAATCAAGAATTTATCCTGGACTTAAAGAAAGTCAGTATGTAATGTCATGTGTATTTCTACAGTAAATTAAAACTTGTGACTTTTCTAAGCTTTTGCTATTTTATACAAAGTTTTCTATAGACACCTATTGGTTCTAGTATAAATTAAAGGTATTAAAACTTGCTAAAGTGAAAGATACACTTATGCCTCAAGAATATATTATTGATAGTAAGGAATGTGGAATAAGAAACATAGAAAATAATGGAGTAGATAGTTCATATATCATGTAGCATTATTAGGATGATTTCTTCAGGTGTATTCTGGGGGATGTGGGGATAGGAGCCCAATTCTATAATTCTCCTTAATTGCCTGAAGTATTGGTAAGGCATTTATTTAGGTGATCCTTATTGGATCATTTTATAATGGATTTAGTCTTGATTTTATGGGATTTGGTCTTAACTAGAATATTCACTTTTATATGTGCAGTGATAAACTTCAATCAGATACTATTAAAATATGCCAGAAAACTATTATGTATATATGCTTTTGATTTTTTTTGCTGTCTCTTCAGAGTGCTGCTGCTACAGCTGCTACCTTGGCACTCCCTGCAGGTGTGACTCCTGTTCAACAGATACTAACAAATTCAGGTAACTAGGTATACAGAACCATTATTTATATAAATCAGAAAAGTGTACCATCTAATCTTTGCTTTGTCTTTATGGAAAGACTTAATATTTCTTTTTTTTACCCCCCCGTAACAGTTTATTTCTGCGTCATTTTGTGCCTTTTTCCATCTCAGTTGTAATCTCTGTGGGCTTCCCATCACCAAATCACCCATGTGCCATCACCATAGTCCATGCACTTCTCTCCCCCTCTTTTGATCCCACTCCCTACTCCACCCCCATAAAATGTGTCTGGTATATAGTTGTTTATTATTATTATTATTATTATTTTCTTCCCTGGTCTTTTATAGTCCTGCTATGAATGAAACCAACTGGTGTACCATTTTTCCTTTTCTTTCTGGCTTATTTTACTAAGCATGATCCCTTCCAGCTTCATCCATGTTGCTGTAAAAGACATGTGTTTATTTTTTTTTTTGGTTGCTGAGTAATATTCCATTGTGTATATGCACCACATCTTTTTAAACCAGTCTTCTACTTTTGGACATTTGGGTTGATTCCATATCTTGGAACTACTTAATATTTCTTAATAAAATTTTAATATTTCTTTTACCATTTGGAGTAGGTTATTAAAATAAGATATCTGAGGACTATAGCACATTAATCTGTAATCATTGCTGATGATGCAATATAGATGAGACTTGCTCATGAACTTTTAATTGTAATCAAGAATCCTTTTACTAAATGAAGAATGATTGCATTGCAATTCTTATTTTCTTTCTTTTTGTTAAACACATTTAGCCTACCAAATATGTTAAACTTGATTCATTTGAACTAATATGTAATACCAGATTAAATCCTTTGATATTGTAAGTGTACTTAATGCATTATATTTTATGTATTAACTCTGATGAAATTTACTCATGGTTTTGGTATATTAATATTAGAAGAATTTATAATGATTTTTAAGTATTTTATCAATTACACAATTCTCATTATTTCTAAATTTGTTGAGGAGCAAACTCTAGCAACTTACTTTTCTACTACCTATTTTAATAAAGTATAGTTCTTTGCTTTTAAAAAAAAAGTTTACTTTTAAAATTCATTCCAGATACTGGGTCATCTAAAGCAACAGAGGGTCATCTAAAGCAACAGATTTTGTGTATCTGTACCAATCAATACTGTTAGTGTTACATGCAGTAATAATTGGTTCATCAAACTTTTCTTGTTTTTAAGCAGTTTTCAAGATAAGTACTATGGTGCGTTAGTCAAAATAGTAATGCTTTGATTTCTTAAGACTTTAAACACGAGCAGTCCCTAAAATGTCTGATGTTATTCATTGCTAATGACTGTTAACAGATAATTTATACTTTTAATTGTCTTGTAATACGTTATCAAACCTTTGTTGGGAAACCACTTTATAAGGATGATAAATAAGGAAATAGAACATTTAATGTATTTGAACATGGAAGGAGAAAAGGTAAGTATTACAAATCACTGTGTATATACAAAAGCCCTTAAGAAAATTGTTAATCTTTTTACTTGATAACATCTAGGGTTTTGTGTGGTTTGACATTCACTGTGAATTTGAAATGGTTACTGCTAAAACTAACTTGGAATACATACTTTTTGCTTTAGGTCAGCTTCTTCAAGTGGTCAGAGCAGCCAACGGTGCCCAGTATATCTTTCAGCCTCAGCAGTCAGTGGTTCTACAACAACAGGTTATACCACAAATGCAGCCTGGCGGAGTACAAGCTCCTGTTATACAACAGGTGAAAGAATCTTAAGTGGATGATCACCTTAGGAATCCTTTTTTCCTCCTGTACGAATTCTCTGGGTTGTACCTTCCCTTTCTTGTGGTTTTAGCTGTACAAATTATTATACCCTTTGTCACATCTGATTCTTTCTGAACTCCTCTTACATCCTTACACTTATTTGCATTCAATGTTAAACTTGTAATTTGTGTTTATCATCCCTCTCAATGTGTTTTCTGTTAGTATAACCACTCTCCATCCAGCTTCCTAAGTTAGTTACTTGGCATTTGTTCAACAACCATTTACTGAGTGACTGTAAGAGAGTCTTTAGAGATTTGGGAGTATAATACTTCTGTAGTTTCTTAACTCCAAGTATCTCAGGTATCTTGAACTTCCACCAATTTCTAGTAGTCTTAAGTTGTTTGTAGTCCCTTACTTTATTTGCAGTGAATTTTCTTTTTGCAAACTGTCATTTCCTTAGTTTATGCTCTCATAATTTCTCATTTAAAATCCTGTTTTATTCTCTTAATCTGTTTTCCTGCTTTCAATCTTGTACCTTCTTAACTTGATTGCAGCTCTTTTAATAGTCATTCTTGTAAAAATCTTAAAATCTAGTAAATTGCTATTGCCTATTGCAAAAAGTCTATGAACACCCCACCCCAGCTTGGTGCGTAAGATCTTTTTTTTTTTTTAATTTGTCCAGGTTTAGTTTTTGCTGTGCTTATAGTTGTTACATGCTTCAGCTGTTAACTTTAGATAAAAGTTAACAATGCACCTACTTGTATGTGTGTGTCAGGTGTCAAATTGTACTTTAAGGACAAAGGACAAATGTGAAAGATAAAAGATTACTTTCTTGAAGGACTAAGGTATTTTGAAAAAGAGACACATTAACACATAACATACATGGTAATAGAAATAAGATCAGAGGAGCATCAACCCAGGTTACTTAGATAGAGCTTTGCAGATTTTGTCTTACTGTTACTACAGTTTCTTTTGATGATATTCTTCTATTTAAATTGCAGCCTTGGTCTTTCTTCTAACAACTCCCTCCACTCTCCATGAGCAAACTTAACCAAGCAGAAAAGCCTGACCAGTATCCCAAAAATAAACAGAAATTTAGTTATTACCTACCAAGAAGGCTTCCATCACAATTCCTAAGACCCTCAAGCTAACTTTGGTACTTTTTCCTGTGTTCTCATAACACCATAAAATGCATTTTTGTTTTTGAATTTCTATTGCCTTTTCTATTTAGTTGATTTAGGATGCAGTCTACTCATTTACAGATGAGTGTAATCATTAATGAGTCATTAATGTGTAACTTCTTAATAGAAATACTGTCATAAATTTTGCATTCACTGAACTCATTGCCAGTCAGTGCTCAGGTAGTCTCTCTCTGACATTTAGATTTATTAATAGTTGTAATTACAGTATCTATCACTTAACACCTTTGATAGATTTTTGGAAATTGGACTTTGAGACAACAAATAATGAAACCAGTTTTACCATAAGTTCCTGTGGTGTGTTCTTGTCACCTAACTTATAAATGAAGACCTCAAACACTGGATATTAAGTAATTATTTTTACTCATTTTTCAACCTGCTTCCAGTTTTAAGTCTGGGGTGGCATTGACTGAGGGTATGAGGGGGTCTAATGAGCCCTGATCAAGAATTCATTCCATCAGGGTGTACTTGCACACCCACCCTCAACTCAGTCTTCTGTTCTTGACAATTTAGACATGTCAACATCTTTAGGATGTCTTTAGAATGCTGGAGGAAATCAGAGTTCTAGGGAAAACCCACACAGGCATGGGAAGAAAGTACAAACTCCACAGACAGTAGCTTCCATCTAGAATCAATTCTTTTCCTTGTTGATATTAGAATGAAGGATGTTATTTGAAGATTCACTGTATAAATAAGTTTTCAGTAATATTCCAGGAATAGTTGTTTTTTTTTTTTGAGTTGTGTTTTACGTTAAAATCATAGACTGCAAAAGCTGAAAGAAACTTTAGAGAAATCATTGGATATGATGTTGATTTTCAGCCATAGGTACATGATTAGACTCATCTGTAAATGAGTAGATTGCATCTTAAATCAATTAGATAAAAATACTAAGAGTGGGGCTTAGGTGTCAGGATTTTAAAATGACTACATGGTTTTAATTTGCAAGGTTGACATCCATTGGTCTTATCTCAGAAGTTACCAAAGCCAAGAGAGGCTAATGACTTGCCTCTGCTACATCTTTATCTGTAATGTTACACAAAATTTGAACCTAGGATTTCAGATTTGTAGTGCGGTGTTCTTCATAGAGAAGCAGTATTGTGTAATAAGAGCAGAACCAAAAGCACAATTTCAAATTTTAGTGACTGTAAGTAAGCTTTGCAAATTCTAAACTTCCCATACTCAAGCAAATAAATCAATATGATGTGTAACATTTGATCTGGAATCTGGCATATACACAGAAGTGTTTTCCATAAATGAAGCAATTACCTTTGGAAGATTTTCATCCCCTTCAGAAATTCGAAAGGTAAAATGGAAGTTTAGTGGCTCTCAGTGCAGTAGTTAAGCCAGTGATTTGTGTACCAATCTTATATTCCTTTAGTGCTTTGGTAGTTATAACTATGACATGTGACCATTTTCAGTGATTTTTTGAGTATTTAGGACTATTTCTTTATACTAAGTGGTGAATTGAGCTACTTGCTCCTCTGACTACTTCTTAATATATGTTTTGTTTTTTAATGCTTTAGGTATTGGCCCCTCTTCCAGGAGGAATTTCGCCACAGACAGGTGTCATCATCCAGCCTCAGCAAATCTTATTTACAGGAAATAAGACTCAAGTTATACCTACAACAGTGGCGGCTCCTACTCCAGCACAAGCACAGATAACTGCAGCTGGCCAACAACAGCCACAGGCTCAGCCTGCTCAACAGCAAACTCCATTGGTGTTACAAGTTGATGGAACTGGGGACACATCATCTGAGGAAGATGAAGATGAAGAAGAAGATTATGATGATGATGAAGAGGAAGACAAAGAGAAAGATGGAGCTGAAGATGGGCAGGTAGAAGAAGTAAGTTTCTAGCTAAAAGACTTGAAATGAGAAGCTGCTCAATCATTTTCTCTTTTGCTTGGTACCAGAAAATACTGTTTTAGATACTTGGTAATAAGGGAATGTATATACCAAATTAAGTTGTATTTATAAAGTTGATAAAGACTATACAAATGAGTCTGATTATTTTGCTTAAGCATTTGTGATATTTGTAGAATAGAGAGATGCGTTTAATCTTTTGCTTCAGTAATGGAAAAGGTGCATGGAAACATTTGGAAAGAGGAACCTAGAGGGAAAAGCTAAGCGAGAGATTTATTTAAAATATTTTGGTCCAGGGCCATACCTGGAGGTGCAGTAGGTTAAAGCACAGCACTTTGAAGCTATCAGCAGCTGCATCAGTAGTCATTCAATCCCTGCCAAGGAGGAGAGACCCACATGGCACTGCAGACCTCGTCTGTCTTTCCCTCTGCTCCTCTTAGCAGTCTGTTTCAGTAGACCCACTATTCTGCTCCCCACTCTGTCTCTTCTGGGGTGTCCTCTCACCCCACACTCCTCTGGCCTGTAACCCAGTTCTATATGCATAAATAAATAAATCTTTAAAAAAAAATAAAATATGTTGGTCCAAAAGATAAAACTTTTTGGTCCATATTACACATCATTACCTTAGGTAACTATCTATGCTTGGCGTCTGCGTTCGGTTTAACAAACCAGCCTTTCTTATTCATCTTTAATTAAATATTTCTATAAGCATATAAATATGTGTTCCTTACTGTTTTTCAGGTTAGTTACTTGTATTCAACATACTTGACCTACTACAGTTTTCATTGTTAATTTCTGCCTTCCGTCTACGATATAATCTTGTATGTCTTAGCACAAAATCGTTTAAAATTAGCTAAATATTTTTTAAATATTGTTTTATAAAATATCAAATAGATAAAAATAAAAAGGGCCTCCCTGGTGGCACAGTGGGTTTAAAGCAAAACACTTTATCAATCTGCCTGTTCTGTACCCCGCTCTGTCTCTGGTGAATCCTCTCACCCTCCACATCTCTGGCCTGTACCTCCAGTTCTGTGCGAATAAATAAATAAATCTTAAAAATAAATACATAAATAAATAAATATATACATAAATAAATTTAAGACGTAAGCACTATGGTGCCTACATGCAGTTTTTCTAAAAATTATATTAAAGTCCTTTGGGTAACTTTTCCCAATCTACTTCCTCTCTCTATGCCATCAGAGTAACTAACATTCATGAATTTTGTGTTTATCCTTGTCTTTATAGCTTATCATGGGTACTGTGTTCCTAAATAGCATATTACTTACTTTGACATGCTTTTTGATAATAGGAATGGAGTAGTTAGATATTCTTGTGTTTTTTCCTTTCTCAAGTTGGTGTTCCTGTGATTCATCCAAATTGTTGCATGAATTTGTAATTGTTTCTGTTGTTTCATATACCATAGCTTATCTATTTTTCTAGTAAGATGGACATTAGAGTTATTCCTACTTATTTATTGTTTATAGCTTAGCTATAAGATACTCCAGTGTGTTGTGGGTACACATATGCAAAAGATAGAATTGGGCAGATGTCTGTACATCTTCACCAGTACTTGACACTGTCAGGCTTCTTTCCTTTTGTTAGTCTTGTGATTAGAAAGTGGTGTCTGATTTTGGTTTGAATTTGCATTTGTCTGATTACTGAAGAGATCTGCCCTTTTGATTCATGTATGTTTTCTCTGCAGGCAAAAAATGACAGCTCTTCTTGCCTTGCTGGCTAATCCTTCCAGAACATTATGAATTAGAAATGTTAGCAGTCAGTCACCTATACCTTGTAATCTTAAAAGGAGTCCTTTGTATGACTCATCATACTGTTTACTGTAGACTTTTTATAGGTGTCCTTACCAATTAAAAAAGTCCCCTACTAATCACATTAAAATCAAGAAATTCTTAAGTTTTAAATGAGTTGACTATTACTAAGCACTTTTTGTTTGAAATAAGATAAACACTGTTTCTTACCCTTATTTATGTTGAATTGCACTAATCGGTTTCCTCTCTGTAAACTGATTTTAAATTCCAGGAATAGCACAACTTCATCATTATGTGTTGCCCTTCTTATTATTAAATTCACTTTGTTCAGGACTTTTGTAGGTTATATTTATGAATGATACAATCTGATTTTCTTTTCTCATCTCTTAACATGTTTTTTCAAGTTTATGGCAACCTTATAAAATGATTTTGGGGAGCATTTCCTCTATATTAAACTTTAAAAACTGTACTTAATTCTGTGAAATATTTGTTAAAACATGATGCTAAAAATAACCTGAGTCTATTTAGCAAATTATGTTTTTCTAGGACTATTTTAACTAAATTTTCTGATTACTTAGCAAAGAGCTGATATCTTTTTCTGTGTACTTTTGTTATTAATGTAACATTGGTTTACAACATTGTACATGATTCATGTATACCACCACACCACACTCAAGGCACCCAGTCTTCCAGTGCCAGAATCATTTGTATTCATTTCTCTTTTAATATTCTCATTCCTGTATTATTTGTGCCCTTTTGTTATCTATCTATCTAATCTATCTATCTAATATAATCTGATATAATCTAATATAATCTAATCTACCTTGTCTTTTGTTGATTTCACTACTGTTCCACAAGATTCAGCTTTTGTTTATTTTCTCTCAAGGGTTTTCTCTTATTAATCTCTGTTCCATCTTACCTCATTTATAGAGGATGTGTTCTGTGTGATCACATGTCTTTTGAAACTGTTCACTTTTTTCTGTATATGTCTAGTAGATTTATATTGTGAGTAGTTTTCTTTGTATATTAGGAGTGTAATGTTCTTATTTCCTGAAATAATGATAGAGTTCTCACTTTTCTATTATTTTGGTTTTTTGTAGTTTGAACCAAGAAATGACTGGACCTAAGCTAAAAATTGTATTTTCCTAGTATATTCAATCATTTATGTTTATATAATGTCCTGTTTTCTCTCCAGTGATAGGAGTCAGTTGTGTGTGTTTTGTAGTAGTATGTTTTATGTGGTATTAATTTTCATCCCAGTTTTGTTTTGGTTAGTATTTGCTTCTCACCTTTTACTTTCTAACTTCTTGATCTCTGAAGCTTTAGATAGACTTGGAATAGTGCTATGTGTGCTGTCATGTTAGGTATATTTATGTTTTTACTAACTACTGAATAAGAAAAGAATAGTCTTTTCAGCAAATGGTGACTGTCCATATATAAAAGAGTAAAGTTGAAGTCCCACCCAATACTACATATAAAATTTTACTCAAAATGGATCAGAGTACTAAACATAAGACGTAAAATGTAAAACACTTAAGAAAATACAGTGTAGAAGCTTCAAGATGTTGGACTTGGCAATGGTTTCTTAAATATGACAATAAAACCACAATCAGAAAAAGTGACTTAGGATTAAACACTTTCTTGTATTGAAAGGCACTATCAAAAAAAGTGTAAAGATAATCTACAAAATAGAAGGAAATATAAACATCATTCATCTGGATTAATACCTAGAATTAATAGATAGATAGAACTCTTGACAACAAAACAGCCCTACTCAAAGACCTTTAGTAGACATATCTCCAAATACAAATAGCAGACAAGCATTTTTTTAAAAGATGCTCAACATTACGAGTCATTAGTGAAAAGAAAATCAAAACTATAATGAGATATTTCATACCTGTAGCGTGACTATAGTCAGAAAGGGGAGAAAGGTTACAAATTTTGGTGAGATGAGGAGAAATTGGGACTCCTCGGGCATCACTGCTAAATATGTTCCTAATGCTGGAAACATAAAATGTAGAAATTGATTTGGTCGTTCAAG